TAGAATAACAAAAAATATTTTACTAAAACATAAGATTGACAGAAGTTTCCAGACGAGCCATACAAAAAAGCTTTTTCTTGAAGGAAGGAGTCTATGACTGACAGCAAAGTCACAATGGTAGTAGTGAGGGCTGTGATGTTTGTTCAATGTTCCCATTTTGGTTCAAGCAATCAAGCTTGTCCACCTATAGCATCTACAGAAAGTTCAACTTGGCTAGCAGGTAGAGTCTAAAGAACAACTGGTTCGCTGCTTTTAACCAGTGCAATTAGAGCACCATTAAAGTGGGGAAAGGAGCCCATAAATGTAAAACTACCTCCCCCACCTCAAAAAATAAGAAAAATATAGATATAAAGAAAAACACCCAAACCCCTGCAGCTAACCCTGACAACTGCCTTCATTCACAGTGCTTTATAGTTAGACCAAGAGAAGTGATGCACAGGTGATGATCAGGTCTACTTAATATGATTCCTGGCATACGGTCTAGTCTGTGCTCTGGCTGTTTCTATGACTTGGGCTTCATTGGTCTTCCCATGCTCGGCCACATCATTTACTACTGGATCATCTGGACTGGGAGCATTTGACATAGCCTGGATTAACAGCAGAACTGTGCAGATCTGCAGTGCTGGGGACCACTTACCTTTCAAAATATTTAAACATGTTCTTCCCAACTTGTCTACATTAGGGTGGTACACTTGGGTCATGAACCGTTCTTTAGGAACCGCCATTGGGTATTCTTCTGGAAGGAGTGGTTCCCGTTTAAAAGTCCCTCCTTCAAAGGGAGAATCCTCAGGGCCAGCAATGACCACATGAGAATAGTGGGCGGTGCTCCATTCTGGTTCTGCTTTAATGCCAGACACTGGTTCTGCCAGCAAACACTGGGTGTCCTTGATAATCCTGCAGGGCAGCACAGCCGTCTTGTGAGATCCCGAGTCTGGCCTCTGGTCTCCCGTATTTTGTTACTTCTATTGGACAAACAAGGGTCAGAGGAAGGAAGTGAAGGGTCACACTGCACCAGCATGTGGCAAAAGTCCAATCACATTCTTTTAAAGCTTTTAGAAATCCTTTCTCATTAATTACATGCCTCCCTTCCCTATTTTTTTCACGTAATTGTAGAGCTCAATTTCATGATTTTAACTTTCATTGTTTGCATTTTGATTTGGTATGTCACAGGTGGTGGGTAAGAGTTGTTCCGACATCATTTTATTGAATAACATATCCTTTCTTTGCCGATTTCAAAATACAGCCTTATCTCATTATGCTAATTGCTGATTCTTTTGACCGTTTCTGGATTTTTAAATTCTGTTCCATTGTTTTCCTTCTATATTCTGTCACTAATGCCATCATATTCTAATTTGCCTAGTTTTAAAATAGGCCATATTAGTTGGAACCCAGTCAACTCCACTGATTCGGTTTGATGGAAGCAAATAAATATTGGTGTTGGTGTTGTTGTTGTTAGGGGATGTCCATTAGGTTCTGCCTCATAGCAATCCCAGGTGTGCCAGAACCACCGCCCAGTCCTGCCCCTGCTCACAATTTTTCTTAGGTTTGAGTCCACGACTGCAGCCCTTGTGTCGATCCATCTTGTCAAGGGCCTTCCTCTTTGATCTGCTGCCCTTCTATTCGACCAAGCATGATGTCTTTTTCCAGGGACTGGTCTGTCCTGACAACATGTCCAAAGTAGGTGAGTCCCAAGTCTTTCCATTCTTGCCTCTAAGACGCATTCTGGCTATATTCCTTCCAAGACAGATTTGTCTGTGTCTTTGGCAGTCCACAGTACGTTCCAAATGCTTTGCCAGCCCCACAATTCCCATTCATCTATTCTTCTGCATTCTTCTTTATTTAATGTCTAAATTTCTACATGCATGTGAGGTGATAGGGCCAGTTAATTTGATGGAAGCAAATAGTAACATCAAATTAATACAGTGGCTTCTCATAATGAACAGCCTCACCCTAGCCACTCAAGATGTGGTCCTCGGAC